AGCTGGAAGTGTCTTGATAAGTTTGAAAGAATGTTCAGATATATAGTCTTAGTTTTAGAAGTTGTAATAGGATGGCTTCATTACTGACTGTTTCCTTATTTTTTCATTTTGTTTTTTTGTTTTCATTTTTGTATGTAGGATTCTTTTTTTTTGTTTTGTTTTTTCCTGCATTTCATTTTTTTTTAGTTCGTAAGTGTATTTGTATCAGATTTATTAATGCATCTTCATTGCACTGTGGGGTAGTTGACCTGTCGTCTGTATTTTCGTGATATGTAACACCTATATTGTATGGTTTTAAGTGTTATAATTAATAAACTTTAAAATTTAAAAAATAAAAAAAAAAATATATAAACTAATTATACATTAATTACATTAATTTATTTTAAATAAAAATTAATGGTATAGTACATTTCAACATGTGTACTAGGCACTACAGATTGCAATCCATATTAAATGATTTTATTTCTTTTTTATGATTACAACTGAAATAAAGGGTACTAGTCAATGCATGGATAAAAAGTAGTATGAAAATGCCGGTTCTGGCTCACCCCCACCATATAATCTAAAATACTACCACTTTATATAATCTAATTACCACCATCATATAACNATTTCGTTAATGTTCGTATGTTTACGTCTTTTTTATAAAAAATATTAATAATTACGCATATTGAAACTGTTGGTTTAACCTTTTGAACTTGTAGAAATAAAGTTAACGCGTGCTCCCAACGTAATAGTGTAGAAGGGATGGAAGGTATGTATTCCTTAATTTCGTTAATGTTCGTATGTTTACGACTTTTTAATAATAATCACAACTGTTTAGTCCAACTTTTTGAACTTGTAATGTTTGTTTGATGTAGAGATGAATTTAACGCATGTTCTCAACGTAATAGTGTAGAAGGAGTGGAAGGTATATACCTCACAATTTCGTTAATGTTCGTAAGTTTACTTTTTTTTTTATAAAAAATATTAATAATCACGCATAATGATAACTGTTGGTCTAACTTTTGATCTTGTAATATTCGTTGATGCAGAAATGAATTTAACGCATGCTATCAACGTAGC